ATCAGCCATTTTTTGGGAATGAAGGTCGGAAACACATTCCCAGAAATGGCTGGTCCATCAATACATTGTGGAAAGTGTATTGGTCAAGAGTAAAGGTGTTTGTCAAAAAAGATTGCAGTTAAATTTGAAACATTGTCGAGTGGCCTTCTTCTATCCAAGTCTCCATTAAAGTTAGTTTTAATAGGCACTGGTTGGTTGTTGAGGTATTTAATGTAAAATGTCCTGTTTTTCATTGTAGTTTGTGGAAAACAAACGGCAAAACTCGATTTGATATTGTAAAGGTATTCAGATTCATACTCTGAATAGTATCAAATTAAGCATTTTTGTATGAAATTACACCTGTCAAATTGTACTGATTTGACATGCATTCACTTGTATCAGTGGATGGTTGAGTGACAATCCAACTGTTCAATACATTACACCATTCATATAGTGACTCGGGTCAAGTCTTTTACTCGACATTGCAATATTCAATGTTCAATGTTCAGATTAAAGTCGAGTCAATTTGACAGTTTCTATCGAGAAAATGGTATCAAGTGTCTGTTATATACCATTGCTGGTGATCAGTGTTGTATGTGCAGAGTAATATCAGCATCGACATTAAACAGCTGGAAATATTGTATTCCATCACAATATATCGTGTACTAGAACATGGATCAGCATGCTGTACCAATGAATTGTAGATGCGATGATAATGATCCATAATCAGGATGGCAATTTGACACTACCTGATTGCTGGATACATCACTGCAATTGGATATATCAATGCAGTATACTACCGAGGTTGATTTTTTATTAATAACGATGCTCGTATATTGATTCACCATATAGAGTGTTTTTGTATTTGATTTATCCTACATGGTGTATTTGTGATTTATGAATATCCATTTGGAGATCGCTGATTGTCACCCTTGAAGCTGCCGTCGTTATAAAATGGCAGTCGTGTATCAGATTCAAGATATTTTCATTACATTACTCGATACAATGTTGATTACTCTAGAATGCGTTCTACTTGCGTTACAGGCTGTTGCTGCAGTTCGACTTGCATTAAAATCACCAAATGGAATTGCTGGTCAATCAAGTAATAGGCTATCAAAACGATCACCCGTTGAATTGGGTGGTGATTTTGGTCAATGTTTTACAATCAAATCCAATGTTCATGGAGTTGATGCATGTATCATGCCATGCATTGTAATGTGTGTGATATGTTCAAGCCGTGCATGTATTGGATCAATCCAGTGTGTATCGTAGTTGTTTGATACACGATGATCACACATACTATTGCATTAGTAATACATGCTATTGATTGAATACACATCATGATCGCATAGTTCAGTCACGATCCAATTGACACAAACAGTCGAGTCGTGTAGTTTGGGTTCAGCTCGACACATTTGTATTGTCAATCTCGGACAAAACGTCAAAAGTGAATCAAGATCAACTGAAACAACCAACATACTGGATCCAGTATGTGTAGTCGCACTGGGTTGTATATATTGACTACAGTAAACAACTCGAATGTCACTTTACTAGTTGTGGGAACATACAACGTTACAATGATGGGTCAGCAACAATGTGATGGAACTGGATGTGCAATATCAAAACCATGTCAAGAATACGAGATGTAACGACAACTTGCAGCCATATTGATGTAAATGAACCACCAAATAACAGTGTCATGAACTGATTGACAATACAGTGGTATTGTTGGTGGTGATTGACATGCAAACAACAGTTGTATTACTGACATGTGTCATGATTGTTGTTGAATTAGATTGCGATCGTATCCGTGATTCAGAATACAACAAATGTATAGAGTTGTATTGACAATATTGACAGTCAAACACAATACATGAATGTGGGTTCAGAACTGGTGATCGTACAATGCATGATTACTAAGAGTGTACAAAGTGTAGATTCAACACTATAGTCTGATTGTGTGTCATATGATGATTGTTGTATATCAAACACACAATGCAGTCAATGTGTAGTATCAACCAACTGAATATGCGACCATTGTATATCCCAAATCAAAGTCATTACAGGATAGATACGGTTGTAAATCAAAGCGTTTGCGGCCACACAACACTCATGAAGGGTGTGATTTTCAATATACCTGATCAAAGGGTCGTAAAAGCATAATCCAATCGACATGATCATCCAATTGATCAATATGATATTATGGATAGGGAGCATCATACTATGGTTTGATATTGGTTCATTACAAACAGTCAAATAACCCTGTATAATTGGTTAATCTAGAAGGGTTGGTTTGCTATACAAACCATACAT